ACACATTTCAAAACTTGTGGGATACAGGCAAAAGCATGTTCTAAAAGGGAAGATCATAGCTTCACAGGCCTACCATAAGGAACAAGAAAAATCCCAAATAAGCAATCTAACTTTACATTTAAAGAAACCAGAAAAACAACAAACAAAACCCAAAGTAAAGAGAAGGAAGTAAATAATTAAGATCAGAGCAAAAATAAATGAAACAGATATTTAAAAACACAATAGAAGGAAAAAAAAAATGAAACTCAGAGCTGGTTCTTTGAAAAGATAAATAAAATAAAATAATAAATGAAAGAGAAGTTAAAACCAACACAAAAGAAATATAATCATTAAACTATGAACAATTATATGCCAACAAATTGGATAATCTAGAAGAAATGGGTAAATTTCTAGAAGCACATACCATTCCAAGAATGAACTAGGAAGAAATACAAAAATCTAAACATACCAATTACTAGCAATGAGACTGAAGCAATAATAAAAAAACTCCCATCAAATAAAAGTGAGAGCCACATGGCTTACAGGTGAATTCTACCAAACATTTAAGAAGATTAGTATCTATCCTTGAAGCCAGCATTACCCTGATTCAAAACCCAGAAAGACATTACAAAAAGAGAAAAATTAAAGGCCAGTATTCCTGAAGAACACAGATGCACAAATTCTCAACAAAATATTAGCAAACCAGATCCACAACACATTCAAAGGATTATACACCATACCCAAGCAGGGTTCATCCCAGGGATGCAAGGATGATTCAACATAAATAAATCAACATGATACATCACATGAACAAAATAAAGGATAAAAATCATCTGATCATCTCAACAGATGCAGAAACTATTTGACAAAATTCAGCATCTCTTTATGATAAAAACTCTCAACAGATAGGTATATTAGAAACATATTTCAACCTAATAAATACATTACCATAAGACAAACCCACAGCTAATATAAATTTCAATAGTGAAAAGCTAAAAGCCGTTCATCTGAGATCAGGAACAAGACAAAGATGCCCACTATTACCACTTACTTCTATTTCACACAGTTATAAGTCCTAGCCACAGCAATAAGAAAAGAAATAAAAGACATACAAATCAGAAACAAGTAAAACTCTATTTGCAGATGACATGATACTATTTGCAGGTTTTCTATATATAGAAAACCCTGCATACAGACTCCACCAAAAAACTATTCAAATAAATTATGAATACAAAATCAATACACAGAAATCTGTTGTGTTTCTATATACTAGTAACAGGAGTTAGGGTTAGGCATCCAAAATTGGAAAGGAAAAAGTAAAATCATCCCTGTGTGCAGATAATATAATCTATTTTTCTTTTTAATCCTTACCCAAGGATACGTTGTCATTGACTTTTAGAGGGAGAGGAAGGGGGCGGAGAAAGAGAGAAACATTGATCAGTTGCCTCCCATACGTGCCCCAACTGGGGATCAAATCCACAACCTAGCCATATGCCCTAACCGGGAATTGAACCCAAAACCTTTTTGGTGTACAGGATGACGTTCCAACTAACTGAGCCACCCGGCCAGGGTGATAATATAATCTTATATGAAGAAAACCCGAGATTCCACACATACAAAAAATTATGAGCTAATAAATGAATTCAGCAAAGTAGCAGGACACAAAGTCAACAAACATCAGTTGCATTTCTATACACTAACAATGAGCAACCTGAAAAAACCAAAAAAATTCCAATTACAATAGCATCAAAAATAATAAAGTACTTACGACTTTACTGATGAGGTAAGAGACTTATACAATGAAAATCATAAAACATTGCTGAAAGACATTAAAGACGAGTAAATGGAAACACACCCCATGTTCATTCAGAGATTGGAAAACAATATTGTTAAGATGACAACACAGTTATGCACCACAATATAGGGAAAATTATAGCACTGAATTCATGTATTAGAAGAGGAAGATCTAAACCAATAATCAAAGTTTCAGCCTTAGGAAACTAGAAAAGGAAGGGAAATTTAAATCTAAAGGAAGTAGGAGAATCTCAGCCTGGGGTTGCCACAGCATATGCTGCTTTTGGGCCCAGTAGTCTGAAGAAAAAAACAAGATAAAAAAAAGGGCACTGGCCGGTGCCTCAGTTTGTTGGAGCATCGTCCCATACACCAAAAGGCTGCAGATTCAATTCCCGGTCAGGGCAGTACCTAGGTTGCAGGTTTGATATNTTTGTTAAGTGTGTGTCACATGCTGGTGTCTCTGGCTGGATGTTTTATGTCCCAGCTTTCGTTTGGTCCTTACCTTTATCTTGTGAGGTGAGTATAGTTCAGAGCCATTTACAGACACACAAACATAAGTTAAAGGTTAAAATTTTGCCTGAGGGCACAGTGGCAGGTCAGGTTCGGACTCGGTTCCTGTGTCTCTCAAGACTGGATTAATTCTTCTGACTACACAGCCCACAATTCTAAAATCTGACCTGAACTTACACTGAACTCTTTCACAGTGGTTTTCTTTGACACTAGAATGCAGTGTCTCACGTTGGCTGTGGACTTCTCCGCCTTCTGTCCTTGAGGGAGGGGCAAGAGGAGAGCTCTGCCCACTGACTGCGCGCAGCACTAGTACCCAACCGGGATGGTAGTGGGTTCCACCTTAGAGACCCCTGAGCCCTGCCTGAAAGAGAATCTTCTCATCTCCCTTATGTGGAAATGCAATGTACGCATGCCACTATTATGCAATTTACTGAGATAGAAGTGTGGCCCTGGCCCGGTGGCTCAGCTGATCGGAGTGTCATCCCAAACACCAAAAGGCCTCCGGTTCGATTCCTGGTCAGGGCACGTGGGGAGGCCACTGACCAATGTCTGTCTGCCTCTTTCCCTCTCTCCCATCAATAAAAACATATCCTCAGGTGAGGATTAAAAAAATTAAAAAACCCCCAACAACCCAAAAATGCTTTAAAAGTTCTGAGGTGAATCTCTGAAAACGGTTCACTATTCACTGGATCCAGAAAATCCCACAAAATTGTGCAAATTAAGAGGTTCAAATCTTTGTGTTCCCTTTAGAACACTCATTAAGGATATATATACCCAAAAACCCACCAAGCACCTGAAGGCTATCACTTTACAGAAGCTGTGAGTGCCAAATCGTTGTTAAATGGAGTTGGGAGGGGTGTCAATGCCAAACATTGGGGATGGATGCAGAGTTGGTGACCCAAAAAGAGTGCTGAATTTTTGCTGCACATGCTTAAACATTCAGAAAATAATGCTGAACTTAAGGGTCATTGAACTCATGGCAGGTGAACAAAGCTCCCAAGATGTGATCCTTATAAGAGCTCATGGGTGGGCTGGATTAACCTGTACATAAACTCTCCCTGCCACATTAAGATGATCCTTACTGAGAAAGAGCAGATATTGTTCCTAAACCAGAAGAGAACATTACACAAAGGAAAAAGATATCCCAGAACAAACTGAAGAAACAAAAACTTAAAGCCTGGGAATAAATTCAGCATAAAATAAATGTAAAAAAGGAAGTAAAAGAAAGAAGAATTAGAGCAGAAATCAATAAAATTGAAAACAGAAACTCAGTAGAGAACAATCAATGAAACCCAAAACTGGTTCTCTCAAAGTCAAATCCTCTGAAAGATCAACAAAATTGATGTCTCTAGTCAGGCTAAGAAAAAAGAGGACATAAGTTACTAATATCAGAAATGAAAGAAAAAATATCACTACAGATTTCATGAACATTTCAAGGATAATAAAAGAATACTATGAACAACTCTATGTCCACAAATTTGATATCCTAAATAAAATGAACCAATTTCTTAAAGACAAAATCTGCCAAAACTCATGCAAGAAACAGACTGTTTGAATTGGCCTATATCTATTTTAAAAATTGAATCAGTAATTAATAACCTTTCAAAACAGCACCAAGCCAAGGCGGGTTCACTGGTGAATTCTACTAAACATTTAAGAAAAAAATTATACCAATTCTCTACAATGTCTTTCAGAAAACAGAAACAAAGGGAATACTTCTTAACTCATTCTATGAGGCCAGCATTATTCTAATTCCAAAACCAGACAAAGGCATTGTAAGAAAACTATAGGCCAATACCTCTTATGAACACAAATGCAAAAACCCTCAACAAAATACTAGCAAATCAAATCCAACGATGTATATAAGAATTATATACCACAACCAAGCTAGATTTATTCACGTATAAAAGTCTGGTTCAATATTTGAAAAGTAATTAATGTAATTCATGACATCAAGAGGTCAAAGGAAAAAGATCACGTAACTATATCAACAGGTACAGAAAAAGCATTTGACAAAACTCAACATCCATTTATGATAAAAATCTCTTAGCATGCTAACAAGAATGGAACTTCCTCAGCTTGAAAATAATATATATATTAAAAAATCTCTAACTAACATCATAGATAATGGTGAGACACTTGAAGCTTTCCCACTAAGATCAGGAACAAGGCAAGGATGTCCTTTCTTACCACCCCTTTTCAACGTCATACTAGAAATACTAGCTAATACAAAAAGACAAGAAATGGAAATAAAAGGTATACAGATTGGGAAGAATTAACTTGGCAACCGCAAAAGAGTGCTAATTTTGCAAACAAAATTCAAAATCCCAAGACACTGAGCCACATCTGAACCTCCTCAGTATTTCTGACCCTTCTCCCCCCACGAAAAAAGAAACAAAATCAATGGCTTCTCTTTTTGATAGTCTCTTTTTTGGAGCTGACTTATAAAGTAAAGGATATTATCATCATCTGTAAAATGGACAGCAGAATTACTGTCAAATTTTTTTATACACACATGCACACACAACATATATATGGGGGAGAGAGAGAACAGTACCTGACGTATTTTTAAATGTTAATCATTATTAAATCTATTATGAATAGTGACAGATCTCTGTATGCAACTACAATTGAAAAAAGACAATGTGTACAACCTACAGCATCTCAGTAGAAAGTTCAAGGGTATTAATGGTAGCAAAAAATTAAATGTTACTTACCCATAAGTAGTATGTGAACTGAAGTGCAAAAATAGCAATGCCTTCGTTATCAAAGGATCCAGCTACTGATCGAGAAATGTAGCCTGGTACAATAGCAATAAAACAAGCAGCTAAAAGTCCTGCTCCTTGGTTCCAAAGTTCTCTGGTAAGCAGGAAAGTAGATATAGATGTAAGGCCGCTAAAAGTTGGTGCAAGGAACACACATACATCTCTTATGTGAACTGTTATGTTCAATGTATTTAATATCCAATGGATAAGGCCAGCTGTTATCATTAACCCTGGGTAAACCTAGGAAGAAAAAAAGAAAAAATTTAATGACACATAAAATAAGGTAGCTGAAAACACTAACATAAGTTCTTTATTATTACATACTGTTTACAGTAAGTTTGAGAATAAGATCTCAGAACAGTTTTCCTTCCTTACATGCTTCAAAATTAAATGTACTTTTGGATTGGATACAAAGAAAAAGCTCATATATGGAGAGATACATATTCATATAAAAGAAGATCACATAGAATGATTATTAATGCTGAAAATGTTCTTCAATGGAAAACTGTGGGTAACTTATTAATTCCACTATTTTTTCATTATAAAACAGGGTCCTAGTCTAACTTATCCTTAAGTTTAGGGTTTTAACATGCTCCAGTTTTGCCCATACTTGTGTGTATCAAGGAATGAGAAAAGGAGAAAAGATGGAGTAATTAATGTGCAGTATAATTTAAGTGGTATCTATAAATGGTTCTTTCCTCCTTTCAAAGCCAAGATTTGGAAAGCATAGAGTTCTAGCTAGGAAATGAAGGACTAATCAGTTTGTGAACTCAATGATCAAAATATGCAATGAGCCCGGCCGGGAGTGGCTCAGCAGTTGAGCATCGACCTGGGATCCAGGTGATCGGGATTTGATTTCCGGTTGGGGCACACGCCGGGGTTGCGGGCTCAATCCTCAGTCTGGGGTGTGCAGGAGGCGGCCGATCAATGACTCTCTCATCATTGACGTTTCTATCCCCCTCTCTCCCCCTCTCCTTTCCTCTCTCTGAAATCAATAAAGATATATTTAAAAAAAAAAAAGCAATGATCATATTTTGGGACTCCTAGAAGGTTGAGAGTTTTTCTACAACGTAAAATAACAGTTTACTCTTCATCCTCACTCTAAACAGGGAACATAAAACAGTAAGAGGATTCAAAGTAAACAGGATATTTTTGAGCAATTCATCAGTGATTAAAATGTGTCTTTACACGTCCATCCTTAACTAAATCCTAAAAGATTCTTTTCTCTACCACAAAAGCTTCAAAGAATGTCATAAATTTCCTTTCCTAGCTATACTATTTAGAACAGCAAATTCCCCAAGGTCTTTAACCCACTGCCTTGCTTTTTCTCTATCACTTACCACCATTTCCCATACTACTTATTTTACTTAGTTTATTTATTGTCTATTAACTAAACACCCTCACAAGAATATAAGCTTCAGAAGAGCAGGAACATTTTTCCCCAGCACCCAACACAATGACTGACACAAAATAGATGCTCAATACCTATTGAATGTGCAGAAGCAGAATAGAATAAAGGGGCGGGGGGGGAGGGGAGGTGTGGCAACCATCATCATTATAAAAAATTAAAATTTTGTCTCTTTTCACAGGCAATACCAGGTCCCAGAGTATGATTTTGTCAGTCATATTAAATGAACATGAAAATGAATTTGAAAATGCCTCTAAAGATAAGTTAATATATCCATGATCCTATGGCAGACTGAGCTGACACACCAAATACAGCCAAAATACACAGAAATACTGATTGAAAATACAAAAAACAAAACCCTAACCAAACCACACAAAAACCCACCCCACAACAAAAAGGCATATTTAAGCTTTAAAAAAAAGGGAACCTTCCAGATGCCAAAAATAAAGAGGAAGTTCAAATTAGAGGTACCGATGCCATAGAACCCCAAAAAAACACACTCTAGGTCTGATACACACTTTAAGGACTAGAAGTTGGGGGATTATCGCTCAATATATGTATCAAAGAAAAGGCCTAACTCCCAGCACAAAGCCAAGGCCTACTCGTGAAACTAGACAAATTTTTCCCATCATTAGAAACAAATGAGAAATAAGAAACTCATTCATCATATGAGAATACAGATTCCACATTTATAACAACTTCAGGTATAAGAAACCTCAAGCTAACAAATGACCTCAAAAATCTGTCCTTAAAAATGTGAAACCCCTAAGGGCTCCAGCATAGGCAAGAGAAAGATTCTTATAGGGATGGTTCCTAATACCAGGATACCAAGAATCTCAGAAAATAAGACTCCAGTGAGGATGAATTCAAGATACAAAGTTAAACACAATAAGCAAACTAGGGTTATCAAATACTAATACAATAAGGTGTGTGACAAGATTAGCACCTCAAGAAGGGTAGGTAATAGCCAACTACCACATCTCTTACCATTCAGTATTTTCCTAATTTGCCCTGGAAACCATCATGGCTACTTTCCTTGTATCTTTATCTCTATTTACATCAAGGATAAGTACATGCCTCAAATTGGAAACACAACATCTTACTATCACAGAAACCATATTCTTTCCAAACACAGAGGGAGCACTTATAGGCCACAAACTAAGTCTCAATAGGTTTCAAAGGAATGAAAATACAGAATCAGAATTTTTCTCTAAACAGAATATATTTGAAATATGAATCAAAACAAGATAACAAGGAAACCCTCTATGCTTAAAAGTTAAATACTAAATAACCCATGAATCAGAAGAAATTATAATGGAAATTAAAATACATTTTGATTTCAATGATAATGAAAATACTATATATCAAACTTACTCAATGTAGCTAAAATACTGATTAGTGGGAAGTTTATGGCTTTAACATGAATACATTAATAACAAAAAAGTTTGGAAATTATTGAGCAAACTTTATCAGAAAGTCAGGAAAAAACACAATAAACTTAAGAATGTGGGAGGAAGGAAATAAATTGAAATTAATACAATAGAAGACAAACATTTAATAGATCATCAATAAAGTCAAAATTTCTTTGGGTTAAGAAATCTAATAAAATTGGTAAACTTCAATACTTGGATTGTTTGTCTTCCACTTGTTGAGTTGTATGAGTTCTTTGTACACTCTGAAAATTAGCCCCTTATCAGATGTATCCTTGGCAAATACGTTCTCCCATACTGTGGGGTTCCTCTGTATTTTGAGGATAATTTCTTTTGCTGTGCATTAGTTTTTTAGTTTGAAGTAGTCCCATTTGTTTATTTTTTCCTTTGTTTCCCTTGCCGTAGGAGATGTATTGGTGACTTTACTGCCCATGTTGTCTTCCAGGATTTTTATGGTTTCGCGACTTAAATTTAAGTCTTTTATCCATTTTGAATTTATTCTTGTGTATGGAGTAAGTTTGTTACCTAGTTTCATTTTTTTGCATGTACCGACCCAATTTTCTCAACACCATTTATTGAAGAGACTATCTTTACTTCATTGTATGCTCTTGCCTCCTTTGTAAAATATTAATTCACCCTACAATCCAATTAAAAAAATGGGCAAAGGACTTGAACAGACACTTCTCCAAAGAAAACATACAGATGGCCAAGAGACATATGAAAAAATGCTCAACACCACTAATTATCAGAAAGATGCAAATTAAAACCACAATGAGATATCACTTCACACCTGTCAGAATGGCTACCATCAACAAATGACATGCGCTGGTGAAGATGTAGAGAAAGGGGAATCCAGGTACACTGCTGGTGGAATGCAGGCTAGTGCAGCCACATAAGGCTCCTCAAAAAATTAAAAATGGAACTGCCTTTAGACCCAGTGATCCCACTTCTAGGAATATATCCTAAGAATCCTGAAACACTAATCAGGAAGAATTTATGCACCCCTATGTTCATAGCAGCACAGTTTACAATAACTAAGATCTGGAAACAACCCAAGTTTCCATCAGCAGATAAGTAGGTAAAAATGCTGTGGGACATTTACACCATGGAATACAATGCAGCTGCAAAGAAGGATCTCTTACCCTTTGGTACAGTATGGATGGACCTGGAGAATATTATGCTAAGCGAAATAAGCCAGGCAGAGAAAGACAAATATCACATGATCTCACTCATATGTGGCATCTAAAGAACATAATAAACTGATGAACAAATAGATTCAGAGACACAGAAGCATGGAACAGACTAACGAATCTCCGAGGGAAGGTGGGGGGTGGGGTGGGGAGAGATTAACTAAAGAATTTACATGCATATATGCATAGCCCACAGACAATAGTGTCGTGAAGGCCTGGGGTGAGTAGGTGCAGGGTGGAAGCAGTCAAGGGGGGAAAAAGGGACATCTATAATATTTTCAACAATAAAGTAAAAAAAGAAAAAACCCACAATATAAACATGCATGTCTCCCCAATAGGTGTCGTCTTTCACTTCCTCTTAAATATTCTCCCTACATCACAAATACTAAAAATATTTTCCCTGAAGTCATCTTCTGAATATAATAATTCCCCGTGAACTATGACTGATATTCAGTTCCTAGAGTAATTTAGGACAGATCTGGGACACAAGCACACAAATAATCTGAACTAAGGATACAGGATAACAAGAGATCCCCATCCCCTCACAGCCTTCACCATTTGTCGGAAATAGTGGTAGTGTGAGATAACACAAAAACAGGTAGGGATGTGAGGGGTGGGGGTGGAATAGTGTCAAGAAAAGAGATTTAGAAAATTAACTCTGGCTAATCAGCCACAGAACATTTCATTAGTTAACTATACAAAGTTTTCAAGAATCCTCATCATCTTAGCAGTTTATGAATTACTCAACTATAAAATTTTATGGTATGAACATAAATAACTGCAAATATACTTACAGTACCACCTACTATTCTTCCTAGTGGATACCATGCTCTTTCATCAAACCAATTTAAAAATTCATAGAACCCATGAGATGCAAGATGATGTGTTGATCTATAGTTAAACCTGGAGAAAACAAGAAAAAAAGAATTATTACAAAACTGCTTCCTACAAACAGTTCTTTCTAATATTATACTTTAAATATAAGTGTCTTTACAGTTAAGTCTATGGCTATATAAATATATATTTTATAGCAATTTTCCTCAAACTTGAATAACAAATTATTTTCCAAGAAATAGGCTCATTCCTCTAATATGACTAAAAGCAAAGTACCTCCCACTCCAATGACTACCAACCAGTTATGCTCAATGTCTACAAAACTACTAATGCTCAAGTTAACATTTGGCCATTGCTTGGGGTACAAATGGTACACAGCTGCATTTGAGTAAAAAAACCGGGTGAGAGTACATAAAATTCACCAAATGGTCAAAGAGGTCAATGGCTCTCAAAAAATTAAGAACTACTGGCAGAAGATATCACCAAAATGAAAGGAGCACATTTGACAGTCACATTCAATCCTAAAACCCTAAAAATTACAGGCTAAAGAATATATCACAATAGTACTAAAGCCATAAGAATAAAATTATAATAGTACTGTGTAACAGCAATGGAAGACATAAGACAAATAGGAAGAAATGAAAATGAAAAAACCACAGCCCAAACCACAAACAGAAGTAAACTGCAAACCATATTTCATTTACAGCAGCTATGGGGGGCAGGAGAAAATCCTTCAGAAATCCTCAGAGTAATGGCATTAGGAACAACTAGCCAGGCAGGTGGATCCCCTTCCCCTACCATTGCCAAGCAAGGAAGTGTCTGCACTACATATGTTCACAAGTGAATCAAAAAGCAGAACAATGCTGTACAGAAAGAACATGAAAAGGAAATCCTTATATCCAATATTAGTTTGATATATCCTTCCCAGCAGCAAGTCACGACTCTCCTTCCCACAATCACTAGCTCTAATAAGTAAGCACTGTTGCATTTTTAGACGGACTTGATCAAATACCAACAAAAAAAGCACACACTCAAAAATCAAACATTTGAGAAAAGTGAGCAACATAAAAGCTAAGTATCAAAATCAACTAATGGAAAACTTAATAACATAGGAAACAGAAATAAGAATATCATCGGGGGCTAAGATAAGCAACAGTGACCAGAAAGGAAGTATAACCTAGAGGTTAAGAGTGAAGGTGTTAGAATCATATTGCCTGGCTTTGAATCTTAGTTCTACACTTTACTAGCTTTGTGACCTTGGTTAGGAAAATGACTTATATTCTCTGTACTCTAGTTTCTTCATCTGTAAAAGAGGGATAACAACAGCACCTACATAAGGTAGCTGATGAGTAAAAATATAAAGTCTCTAAAGCACTTGAAGGCTACTGCTACTATTATTATAAAATAAAGACCTATGATAAAAGAAACATACATCTGAGGGTCAAAAATGATTGTCAAGATAAACAAGACAGGCTAAATAGTAAAAAGTTCAAAAATGAAAAGTATTTTGAGAACTGATGTCAGCAAGGTCGCATAGTAGCAGACACCAGTCTTCATCCCACCCACCCACCAAGAGAAAAGGAAACAGACAGCTATCCATTAAGGAAAATATCCCTGGGAAGGTTCAAGTGTATATTTAAGATCCTACAGCAGCACAATGAAGCAAAAGATGGAGAATAGCCACACAGAAACTATTGGTAGGGGGAAAGGCTTAGCTGAGACATCTGAAGACAGGTATGAACAAAGAAGGGAGGAGGCTATCAGTATCAGCCACGTGGTAGGTGCCATCATAGCCCCCGTGCATAAGCATGGGTACACTTTATTTTCCAAGGGTTGCTATCTTTCATTTCTCTTCCACCCAACACAGGCTTGTTTTACGCCAACCCCTCTTGCCATCATAGACAAGCTTGCCACATAAATATTACACTACTTTGGGACAATGTCTAATGATAACATGAAAATAATGTATACTATCATTTGTGTATCTGATGTATCAAAAAGAAAGGAGAAAGAATAGGAAAGTATTTTTTCTCACAGAATTTTTCCTTCATATTTTTAACCAGGAACAGGAACTAGGAATTTCTATTTGATCTAAAAAAAGCCATTCATTTTTATAAGACAGATGTTATGCATGGTTCAAAAACTCATCTGATAGAAAGCAAAGTCTCGGTTCTCATGAAAAGAGAAAAAGATTGCAAGACAGATATGTTAACATGTTAATTCTGTTGATCCTATTGGCCATTATTGTAACATCTTCCAAGAGATAGTCTTCTTTACTAATCATCACCAAAATCTATCAGTATTTTGATTTGAACAAATTACCTATGAGATTTAAAGTTTAACAATTAGTTCTGCATCTCTTCCTCTTTCCTGTTATTAAGTATTTTCTAATAACATAGAAATTAAGTGTGGTTGTTTCTGTTTTATCAAATTTAAAAGTAACATTTTTACTCTTTATCCCATTTTCCTTACATCTTGAAGCAGTCTTGTCACTGACAAGTGAGAAAATTATTCGTGTATCAATTTCATAAATGAAAAAAATCTATATAAGACTTATTTTGTCTGTCTTAAGAAGTCATTCTCCCTCTTTCTCTTTCTGAAGGAAAAATGCCAAAAATCTGTAGTGGTGGGAAATTTGTAGTTCCTGTTGGATTTCACTTAGATTCAAGTAAGATATTATACTATGTAAAAGCAGAGCCTCCACCCTAAGTAAATCAATGGAAGCTTACCTTCTTCATTACATACTTTTAATACTTAACTATTTCAATTAGTCTCTTTTCCCTCTAGCATTAATCTAGGTTTTACATAAAAGAAAAAGGCTTTTCCTATTTCTTCAAATATAGTAGCAAAAACTGTAGTATGAAAACACAAGGAAGAAAAGCGGTCTTTTAATAAAGATATTGGCTTTATAGAAAAGATCGACTTTTCTAATTTCAGAGTTCCACATTGCTTCCTATGACCTCTGTTTAACTATGATCGGCTTTATTAAAATAAGAAAATCTATGTTAAGCTATATAAAAACTTGGCTCTTCCCTAAAGGAGACCATCTGAAAACCAAAATTCCAAATAAAACACACCTCGCTGAGACACAGTACCAAAGCCAAGCACCTCAAGGTATGTACTGTAATTTCTGTCCCTGAAACTGACCTGTCCATTTTTCTCTTCTCATTTAATGCTGACTTTTCTGCTCTACTTCATGCTTTAGAATTGGCAGGAAGTCTAAATATAATTTTTTAGACTTATCCTCACAAATATCTCAGTATATTAGTACTTCCAAGATAAATTTGCTTTATTCAACCTCTACAGATTATGATCCAGCAAATAAACTTCCGGAAACTCAGATTCTCCGAATCACAGTTCTCTCAATAGCAGATATCTTACTTGATCTCAGAGAAAGTATAGAGTCTTCACACCAACACTGTGAACTATGCCTTCACTGGGAACTTCTTTCAAACCAGCATACTAAATAAACAGCATGAATTTATTTATTAGGCTCCATCCTAAGTGAATAGTAATAACAAAAATAAATAGTGAACATTTAATGAGTGCTTATTATGAATTAGATACTGTTCTAATAAGTACCTTTAGTTCATTTAATCTGCATGACAACTTACTGAGATGGTTTGGTTTGGTCTCTAGGCAAAGATGAATGAGTCCATCTTCCTATAGTTAGCATTAAGCACAGTGCCTGGCATATATTAAGTTCAATGAATGTTTGTTAAAGTGCCACTGAACACTTTATGTATGACCCAATTTTAAAACATTTACCCACAAATGTCCCAAGTAAAGTGACTTAGTGCTAGTGTGAGGTTATGAATTGTGTAAAACATTTTAACTCCCACTCTAAAATAAACTACTCATTCTACAGAAATGTACTATTCAAGTAGAAGGTAATAAAAGTAGTGTAATTGGTTTAATTAAATTTTCATTGTTTGAACACTCCATATACTTTAGTCAATGCTATCTGAGTTCCTCTTTATGTTCTGGCCTCTAAAGTCTTTCATCTTCTATATCACTCATAACACCATTCAGAGTTATATATAGAAATGAAAAACATCTGCTGCAGCCAAATGAATTTTTGTTCTACTTTTAAAAAAAATTAGTCTGAATAAGGGTTTAATTCCCACAATTACCAATCTCAGCACTTGATGTTGCCCTAACCTAAAACTATCCACACACCACATTTCTTACTATATTCTGGCCAAGGGGGTCTTATTTTTGTCCCTTCAATATGCCAAACTTATTCTTGCTTGGTGGAATGCTCTTAATTCAGATCTTCACAAGGCTAGCTAACTCACTATCAAACTGTCTTAATTCGCAAATCACATCAAAAAGGCCTCTTTCACTTCCACATCTATAGTGGTAGCCCCATTCCAGACACTAGCTAGCACATTTTTTTTTAAGAGCCTTTATCACTAACTAAAATTATCTTGATCTTTTTTTGTTTACATGTTTGCCTGCCAGAAAATAAATTCCATTACAACAGAGACCCTGTATATATATCCAAACACTTGGTGATATGCCTGGAACATACTTACCACACAATAATTATTTGTTAAATAATCTGAATGTTGAAGGTACCATTAGTACTAAAAATACTGCTCTACCATAGTTCACATATGCAATCAAAGCCTTTAAAAAAAGAAAAAAAGNTGATATGCCTGGAACATACTTACCACACAATAATTATTTGTTAAATAATCTGAATGTTGAAGGTACCATTAGTACTAAAAACACTGCTCTACCNCATTAGTACTAAAAATACTGCTCTACCATAGTTCACATATGCAATCAAAGCCTTTAAAAAAAGAAAAAAAGAAAAATCAGTGCTTTTTAAAATTCTAAAATCTATACGTGCAGCCACAAAGTATCAGATTTTTACATTCCTAAAAATTTTGCTAAGAAATATATATTTTCCCCTACAAAATTGGTATTATAATTGAGAACAAGCATTTCTGGCCAGAGGCTCCATAACAAAAATTAGGCTTACTGAAGGTAGAAGTTCATCTTCATCATTCTTACATCTATGTCTGAGACGGTTTGAAACCCAGAAGAGGCCAGTCTGTGGAACCCAGCAATTACAATTTAGTTCTGCCACCGAAAAGTTCAGAAAAAATCGTAAAAACAATGAAAAAATGAAGGGCACCAACTCAAATCATATCAAATACACTTTTACAATATTCAGCACAGGTAAACAACTCAATACGGAGTAATTTCTTGCTGACCTTAAAAGTTTATGTTTCTAAAAAGTTGGCAAAACCATCAACTGGCAATGAAAAAAAAATCATAAAAAAAACAGAGGGAGAAACAGGGTTTTTCATCTTTCTGGAGAAAAAGTCTCAGAGAATCTGATGAAAATATGAACTCTCTCACCAGAATATACATAAAAATTCTGAAGAATTTTGAATTTATTTTTAGAAGACCCCCCCCAACACATAATTCAAAATAGAAAGGCACTGCTTTTTAGCAGTGAAAACTGCTCCGAGGTACCGTCTTCAATAGTTCAGAAAAAACTACACTTGAAATTGAGACTATACTTATTTTTCAAGCTTCTGACCCAGCCGTTAAATCACTTAAAATTTAATATTACTTCATCAAGGAAAATAGTAACACCACCACCACAAGGAACAGCACTAGTTAATTAAGTGCTATGTAACCACCTGGTTCTTTTTCAAATTACTGCCGAGCTTAAGGCCTTTTCGTATCAAAAAAGTAGACCGATAGGGTCTCCTTTCTTTGCCCTATATTTCAAGAAATTAAGGAGAGATGGCAGGATGCAATTCAGAAGAAAATAGGATAATTGTTTAGCTTTCATTTGTTTAAGAGTAATAACATAAAATAAACTTCACATTTTTATTAGAAATCTGATTTTAAAATTTTGCTATACAAATATATAAACACTGACCTATATCAAACCATAGTTGGCAAAGTTATAGAGATTACTCTACAAACACTTAAACAGATGTCTTTTGTGCATTCTAGAACAGAAAAACCTAGAAGATGCATAAAGAAAAACTCTGAATACAAGATTCTGTTACATGCAAATAATTTTCTTTAAAAATGCAACCAAAAAATATGGATACCAACTTATGAATAAATTATAGTTTACAAATAACTTTTGACTCACTGCCAATAAGCCTGGGCATTATACATATAAGTATACAGTCTAAGAGCCAAAGGTAAACTTGGTCCCTGACCTTATGAAGCTGACAATCTTGCAGGAGGGACAGGCAATAAGCAAATACAAGGGGAAAAGGGAACAGACAGGATAAAGGACACCTGACATTTTTTTCCCCCATTTAAGAAATCTGAAGTACAATTTACATGCATTAAAATACATCACCCTCATTGATTCAATGAGTTTTGATAATTTTATACATAAACTATCACCTCAGAAAGTTCCCACATGCACTTTTCCAGTCACTTCCACACACACCCAATACTTCTGAATTCTTTCACCATAGATTCATTTGTTCTTGGATTGAATATAAATGAATCATAGATTCTACTTTCTAAGATGTCTGGCTTCTTTCACTCAACATAATGTTTTTGAGATTTATTCACGTAGCATCAGTTTGTTCCTTTTTTGTTGCTGAGTAGTACTCCATTTTATGAATATGACAATTCATTCTCCTTTCAAAATACATGAGTTGTTTCCAGTTAAGGCAATAAATAATAAGGTTGTACATTCTTGTTCTTATAAAATATAAATGAGCATTCCTATAAGTCTTTTTTGAGGACATGTGTTTTCAATTTTTGGGGTAAATATTTAGCAATTCCACCCCTAGTTATAGAGTACACATATATTTAAAAATATTAAATAGCTCTCCAAAGTACACTCCCACCAGTATAAGAGTTCTACTTACTCTCTATCAAGTTTTTTTATTTTTTCAGAGTCCACCAGCACTGTGCAGTGTACCAGGAACACTAGTATACAGGACAGACCTGTCCTTCTAAAGCTCTCATGGAAGGCTTTTACAAATGACACCTAACAAAAACCTTACTGGGCTGTTCAGCAAAAAGGCAGGAAAGAATAGAAGTAGTCTCCAAAGAACATGTGCAAGGGCTACGAAAGGCAGATAGATCATTTTCATAACACTAACAGAAAATAAACCTAGGTCAAATTTTTGATGGCAAAAATATGCTTTGAAAAACAAATGAGGAAGCAACCTAGAAATAGTAAGTTTTTAAAAGTTGACTGTCTTAAAACTATATTTGTATTTAATTCTCTATGTTCTCATAGTGTCATGTTTTTTCACTGCATTTGTCATTCTTAACTGTTCCAAGTCTAGATCCCAAGTCCCAAGACTAGAATCCTATAGATTTGGACTCACCCAAATCCTATAGATTTACCACCTGGCAAATACATAACATTCAGAGATGGAAAAGGTTAATTAAGGGCATTTGTATAGTTTTCTATTGCTGCGTAACAAATTACAACAAACTTAATGGCTTAAGACGACATACATTCATCATCTCATGGTTTTCATGGATCAGAAGTCCAGTGCAGCTTAACTATATCCCCTGCTTAGGGTCTCACATGACTACAATCAAAGTGTCTCCAGAGTTGGGTTTTTATTTGAAGGCTGAATTAGGGTAATAATTTACTTCCAAGCTCACTTAGGTTACTGGTAGAATCCATTTCCTTGATGCTGGCTGTTGGTTGAAGCCTCATATAGGCTGCCTGCAGTTCCTTGCCAAGTGGACTTCAACAACATGGCTGCTTAATTCATAACTCCAGCAAGGGGAGACTGGACAAAGTCCAGTGGTAAGATAAAGTTTTATATAACATAACATAATCATGGAAGCTACATCACACCACTCTAGCTTCTGTCCAATCCTCTATTCTTCAAACAGACAGGCTCTTTCAAAAATAATTCATTCTATGAAAAGATTTATACAGTCAATTATAACTCTCCAAGTTTGTTTGCAAAGTACAGTGTTATAAGATTTTACAAAATTAGCCAGGTTAATTCACCTAGTAAATGAGAAGGCAACTAGTGCCATCAACAGAAATTACCAGTTATGGATGCCAATGTAAGTGTAAGAGAATTAAGAAATAAAAAAAAGGAATAGAATTCCAGAAGGAGAAAATAAAAACAGAAATGAAGAGCACAGTGTTAGAACACCAGTGATTACATCCAGGATTAAAGGTTTTCTTCTGTTCCTTCTCTTCTCCTTTACCCTGTCACTAGGAACTCTCGGACTACATAAGGTACCAGATATACAGAAGTCCCATTAGTTGGCATACTTCATACATACATAAAATTCAGCACTAATAGAAACAGAAAACAACCAAGGTATAAGAAAAGTACAAAGCAGCTAAGGCCACAAACTATACCTTTTATTAGATGGCAGGATCAAAAACAAAAACAAGCCAGGCATGCTAATTAAATAAGTACACCAGATAGAAAAAAATCCAGTCTACTAAGACTCTAAAACTATCTAAATCCAATCCTGCCACATGATACATATGAACACTGTCTAATCATATTAAACACAAAGCTAACTTTATTACTTCAACTCTGGAAACTCATATGTGAGGATATATTCAAGCCTAGTGTGATTACAGAGATTCATATCAATGTTTAAGTAACAGCAAAACAATAGAATTTCAAAGGATTATTAATGATACAGAATAAGAAGTAATTTGTTTTACTAGGTCAATTCTGAAGTTTGAAAAGACCTACAAATACACAGATTAACCGCTGCCATACCACCCAATTACCATTACTCATTTACATATAAGCAGTTCCAACTGGGTGCAAAGACTACTCTCACTACTCTCTCTCCTCTTACAACTGATGGATAGGTCATTCTGATTTCAAGATCTTTCATAAGCAGACAGCAGGTTGTATGTATCAGATTGACAAACTACTTGTTTTCACTCTACTTTAGAGCAGCACATGGAAGAAAACAAAGGTTATTATTCAAAAGCTGAAAACATCCTGCAGACCTCTTAGAGCTTCTCTATACCCTCCCACTTAAGCTAAGGTGCATTACATATCAAATGATATTAAATTCATAAGAACACAGGGAGCAAAACTTCTTCCAAATACATATTAATTGAAAACAAGATCACTATTTTAGTCTTATCTCTTAACCTTTGCCTTAACTGGCAGTGACACCTATCAATTTCCATAAGTATCCATTTGAAAAAGGAGGGAGCCTCTTCTCTTTTATAATAAAAGATACTTAAACTAATTGGGGGAAAAAGGAAAGAACAATAAGAAGCTGGCACCAAAAAATTACATCAAAATAAGAGGTTGATATAAGTGTCCTAGTGATGCTCAAAAATAAATAAATAAATAAAAATCTAGGATTTTTTGCTTGGTTAAATCCAATACAGATTGAAATCTAAAAATCCTAGACAAAAGGCAGCTAACATGTGCTTGTATGTATTTTTTCTCGCTACATAGGACACACACGTGTATGTAATACACGTTTAAGTTAGGCACACATTCATGTATTATAGAAACAAGATCTCCAACAAATGTTACATATAAACATGTTATATCTACATTTACTTATTATTAGGTTAGATTATTATCTAACTTACTGACATTATATAATAATTACATAAGTAAAATTTCCAACTAACAAGCATTATATAAATATATATTATCATACATATATTTAAGTCAGGACACATATTCACATACTACAGAAATAAGATTTCCAACTAATAAACATTATATGTAGTAATAATATCCAATTATTATATAGTAATAGTATCTCATAATTTGCTATGATTAAAGAACCAGAATTGTTTGGCCAACTAATAAGCTCATAAGAGAAATGAACATCATTCGGGCCTGGGCAATGACATCAAGAGATAAACTAAAATAAAACAATCACTCAAAATAAGCTTCTCTGGACATCTTAAGTTTTAAGATTTAAGGGGGGGCATATTCATAAGTTACAGAGCAATGTTAAAATCTGACATATTACTAAGTACTGAAGACCTGGGTGTCAAAATACTCAACTTAGTCACCAAAATAAATTGGTGGGATGGTATAAATGAACACTCATTTGTTTGGTTTTGAAAAATACATATGCTCCCAGTATAATATGGATATACTTGATGTTCACAAAAATTATGTTACTTTTTAAAAAAGATTTCAAACCTGCCA